GGGGTGACTTTCAACACTACATCTTTGCTAATTCAGTTGAGCCACACAATACCATCTTAGTGAAAACATGATATGAGCAGGATTTCTGACACCCAGCCTTGGATGAATGAAAGGTTTTTTGAGAAGACGTCCCCCAGCAGAGGACCTAAGTAAAACCACTAGAGAAGCATCCTCACAGCTCTGAGTGGTAATGATAGCTGTTGTAAAACTTCAGGCCATCAAATTCTCTCCCCCTCCACCCACCCACCACAGCCCCACAGCAGAGCTCCGGTGCCAGTGACATTTCCACCAAGTACCCAAGGAGACTGCGCTTGCCAGGAGGGTGTCAGTCACCATGGACCTTCTTAATGATTTCATTAATTACTAATGAGTCTTCAGAAACTTGGTATTAAAATAGACAGTGCTTCGTGGGGTTTGAAGACAGTAAGGGATATCTTATTATATAAAATATCCTGCTAAATAAAAGCAGGCGAATATGTTGGCTCACATGATGATTTCATTTTCTGACGAGTCAGGGTTGTAACTAATCCACAGGTTACCCCTCCTTTGCCTGCGAGAGGAACGGTGTGAGAGACAAAGGCAAAGGGAGAGATTAAAACGTTCACCTAAACTCATTGTGGCTTCTGCTAACTGCTCCCCAAGCGGCATGGAGCTGAAACAAACAAATGCGATGGATTCGAGTCCGAGCCAGGGCGACCCCATGCGCGTCAGAGTAGAACTGTGCTCACTCGGGTTATCGACGACCGAGTCTTCAGATGTCATCACTAGCGCTCTCTCCTAAGGTCCCTGCAGGTACACACTGACTTCCTGCCTTTCTGTTAGCAACACATTAACGGTTTGTCCCACCCAGGGCCTCCAGGGAGCCAAAAGCTGTCATCATATATTGCCCAGCAGTGCACCAAGTGCCAGGAGCTGAGGAACTTGGGGAAGAAAGCCAGTGTGCCTTCTGGGAGTTGGCAGACCACTTGCAGCATGGAGCATCTTTTCAGAATGAAGACCCGTATCCATGTTGAGGGCTGCCAGTTGCCCTACCAGGCGGAACCCAAGGCCTCACATAAAAATCCTCTTGAAAAGAACCATCTAACCTGTTTACATGACTTCACTTGTAAAACAGGGTCATAACAACAACTCTCTCTAGGACTGCTGAAAAATTGATGACAATTCCACCATTATTTAGATAAATGTCCTACCTGGTGACCTAGTCTCGTAGTGATAGCAGCAACAATGCCTTGACATGGGCCACTTTCATTGTGATACATAACCATTTAGGCAAAAGGTTTGGGTGAAACTGATGTCCAATCAGCTGTGAAAGCGGGACCTGAAAGTGCTTCAAAGGGCAGACAAAAAAGTTCTAGGCTCAGGGCCACAACTTCAGGTAACCCCGTTCTAGTTCTACTGTCTTCAACTGTCCCATGGATGCACACCACACTGGAGGACCTATGGGTGGGACATGCGTCTCCAAAAGGTGTGCTATAAGACACTTTTATTTCAATGTGCATGAATTAGTCATGCTAGTTTTATATTGTGTGGATGTTTGTGTGTGTATCTATGGTTATTTTAGAACTTGGGGTAAAGGATGATTTCCCCCAGATGTTTGTGTAAATTGAGCGTCCATTAAGATGCTCTATATTTATGAGTATCCTGGCTTGGACAGGCATCAAAGGCTTGAGTGATGATGCTGGTTAATGTGTTTAGTTGCTAATCAAAAAGGTGAGCATTCAAGTTCACCCTGGGAAAGAAGGACTATTTACTTTAAAAAAAGAAAAATCAACCATTGAAAACTCTGTGCCTCAAACACTAAGGGGGTGCAACAGAACAGCAAGGAAATGGAGCAGGAAGGCCCCATGGA